ATTATATAAAACCTTCCAGCTGATGGTTTTGATGGATCACTTCGATTAAATTCATGCGGTCCAACTGAAGTCTTACCAATGACTCCATCATCAACTACACGATAATATACATATAACGATGAATCATCGTGGGCTATTTTAAATTCAATTATATTTACATTTGGATTATATGTATGTTTTGGCATGTCAGTTAGTATTTTAGTGTCTGCATCATGACAATCTGGAATTTTTAATGAAGGAAACCATGGACTTTCTTGATAAACTGTACCATTTATATTATCTCTTGGATCACTATAAGATGGAACATTTAACCAATCATCAAAATTACCATCAATTATTATATTACGATTTATTGGATCAGATTTCAAAATCTGTATTACAGAATAAATAAGTAATATTCGATTAAACAAATTCATTTTTATTATGAGCTACTTGAAGAATCAAATTGAAGAAAATCACATAAACATGCTTTTATATGAGTAACTAAAATTATTAATATTAAAGTGCACCTGAGTTGTTGTCTAAACAGATAAATAATTTTTCATTATGTTTGGTTATGTCAGTAATACAAGATGAGAGAGGTTGCTTTTGAGATCATATGTGTTTATGATAAGAAAGGAACAGAGATGGAAGAGAAAAAATGGTGTGATGATAAGAAACTACAAGGTAAATGTTTTCTTTCTAACGTCACGAAAAAATTTTGTCATTGTCTCTGTGCTTATCGTCAACTTTCATGTCCACAACAATTATCTTCATTCTCGAGCATCTTCACTAAGGATGAAAAGAATACTTATTGCTTTAATGGAGCTCCTTTAAATCTAGTATAGGAATTATAGAAGATAGATATGGATGTGGGGTAGGCAGATCCGGGTGTTAGGATACGAGAGATGAACTCTCGTTTCTATATGTGTCTTTCTTTCTTTTCTTTTCGTTCTGCTGTAGTGCATACGTGACATGTATATTATTTTTCTTCCTTTCCTGTAATCATCGTATATTCCAGGTGTGTTAGTATGTTCCTTATATTCTCTCTTCTCTTGATACACTGGTTTTTTTCCATGTTCATTCATAAATATATATTCGATGTTTTATGCAATAAATGGGAGATTAAGCAGCGAACATCTAACTGGTGTACTGGCCAATTTATTATACGAAACAACAACAATAAATTAATCGGCACGTGGCCGTTCAACATTACATCATCAGTTGAAGTGGTGTATGTCAATTTACCACCGCTATCCGACGAGAAAAATCACAGAAATCAAACAATAAGCGAATTATCATGTCAGTTACCATTGAAAAGCAAAATAGTGTCGTCGCACACAGCTAGAATGGCAACAACTATCAAGATAGCAAATGATTCACAGAATAGTGACAACGAACTAAATGATTCAAAGATCGACCATCGAGCGAAGAAACAACAAGTCCATTACAAGTGGATGTGGGTGTGCAGTATGCACTAAAAAAGAATAATACCTATCGACACTTGCACTCTTATCAGTTTTGTATTGGGTCTCTAGGAATTTCTTACACTGTATATTTTCTTCTGGTATTGCCACATCTATTTGACTACTTCTTACTGTCTTTCGAAGTTTCACTGCTATAGAAATTTTATTCTTCGAAATGTGTACAATAATTCTGAAATCATATTTTTAGCGTTTTTTTTTGTCGATGAGTCACGATGAGAAAAATAATTCATCAGTAATTATCATTAATCAGTCAGAAGTATTATGTTCTTCGTGTAATTTTTGTTGTAGTCGAGTAATCTCTTCATTGTAGTCATCGAACACTGTTGAACTTGAGCTTGGGATCCTTTTAAGATCAAGAAGGATAAGGTAGGATGGGTATGGGTGTGTAAGTGTCGTCTGGTAACCTACAAACCCACGTCCTCACCCACATCCACACTCAAGAGTCTTACCATCCTGTGTTTTCACGTATATTGCTTTCTCATTGCCCGTCATAGTGTTTACTGCTGCTGTGGTTGTTGTCGTTGGAGAAATGGGAACCGGAGAAGTATCACCGGCGGGACCATACGAATATGTTTTGTTATGGTAGTCGAACAGAGAAACTTTGTACCCTTGACCTTGAGGATTTGTATGTGATCGTACCTGGTACTCATCATTTCTGAAATAGCAATTAACAGTAAATTTTGACTGGTGTCTTGATTGAACTTGAGTATCGGTGTGGGATGTCGGTGCCGATACTCTATTCTGTTACAACACTCACATCCAGCCTGACACTTATTCCTCCTTATTGCCGCTTCGTTCGATCTCTACCACTTTATTAATAAGCTGAATTGTTTCCTTCAACATTCTGATTCCGGTTTTTTGCAGCTTTTTCAACTTGAATGATACTATACATTATCGATAATGAGGTGTCAACCAGAAGTAATGACGATCGATAATAATCGATTATTTATTCAACTTACCTTTACAGAAGAAAAAAACAGCGATGAAATCGTTTGAACATGATATAGGTAAAGAGGAGTCCAGTAGCTATGTTCGATCAATTCAAAAAAAAAAACTCCATCGCGAAAGCAAACAACAAATCATTATTGACTCGCGTCTCTCAGTGCGTGGCAAACATTGAACATATTTACGTTCAACGAAGGGTGTGGGTGTGGGTGTGGGTGGGGTGTGTGGGTGTGGGTGGGGTGTGTGGGTGTGGGTGGGGGTGGGTGGGTGGGGGTGTGTGGGTGTGGGTGTGGGGGGGGCGTGGGCGTGGCTGGCACGGCGACCGCCCGCGTGCGGGGGCCGCCTCCGTCG